CACTCCTGAGTAAGGAGCTAAGACTACATTTGTGGAAGACATCATGGCGACCACCTCCGACAAAGACAGGCAACTCGTAGCCGGTGGCTGTCCCCAAGACTCAGCCCTCTTAGCACTGCGACTCACCAGCCCTGGTACGAGCCTTTCTCTTTGCCCGTCAAAGAACATGAACACCCAGGGCAGCAACCCCAGAACCAAACACAACCTCATTTCACATTCTAGTGTGAAAATCCCTCACCTGCTTGAATGGATGAATTGTGAATAAACTGCGTTTTAACAGAAATTAAGTGACTCTTACTGTCACACTACTCCCTAAGACAAAACCAAAGATGTGTTCTAGTAGCAAATACCTGAGCCTTTGGAGAGACTAGAGATACAAATACAGCAGGAATTTTTAAATCTTATGTTCAAAGCAGACACTATCAAGTAGTAGTAATATTCAAAATTATCATTCTTCCGTGCTGTGGTCAAGATGTTGCCTAAGTTTAAAAACACAGAAACTGCAGCATAGAGCCAGAGATTTAGAATGTGATTGTCCAGAACTGGGTCTCTGCCATCGTTACACCTTCCCGGAAGCCTTAGCAATTTGGCAAAGCTCTGCTCCCATTACCAGAATGAAATTTCTAATTTTACATCCAACGTGGGTTTTAGTGCCTTTTGACTCCTTACTCCTCTTGCTCAATTATTCGCTTTCCTGATGCGTTTTCTCAGTACCTCCTCTGTATGTGTTATACTTCCCTTTACAGGGAAGGCTAAGAGCTTCTTCCTTTATAGCACAAAGCTAGGAGCTGAAATGACCAATCAAATTGGATGATGTACTGTTTGAAAACTCTTACAAACTGTAATGCTGCCTAAGTATCCGTCATCATCGTGAGAGTTTCTCCTTAATGGGAGAGGAGGTTCCTAGGCAGGGCAGGGCCATCGATCACAGGGCACGCGCGGGAGCCTCCGGGAGCCAGCCTCTTCCCACTCGAATCGGCTGTATTTAGCGACAGACAGCATCCTCCTTAGGAGACGCCAAAACCGTGATTGTTCAGATGGCAAACGCCATCTGAGAGGTGGTGAGCCTCCTTCTTCCGGCCAAAACGCCACTAAGCCTCATTTTGAAAAGCAGAGCAAGAGCACACAC